GGCCTTAAGATAGCCGCAACAGCGGCGGTCTACCCAGAGCCTGCTCTGGTCCGCTATGGACTACTATTGGCCTTCGGCCTGCTCAAGCTCTAGTCAAGTCGACAAGTTTTTATTTTGGCACGAGCCTGCTCGCTATGAGCTACTCAGGTCCTGAGCAGGTGGAGGAGACAACCCCTTGCTTGAAAGCTCCAAGAACTGGTGACTGCAGTGAAGGAACTGCTGCAAAGGCCAGAAAACTGTTCAAGGTAGGAACGCCCAGGTAGGTACGAGAGCAGGTGCGTCTGGCTGATCAGGTCAGATATCAGCACGCAGCGGTGCAGTGAAGTGGGTGACCCCCCTGCTGTAAAAGACCGAAAAGTTTTGTATGATTTGAAGGGTTTCACACGCACGCACGACAATCTGCGCGCCGGTGAAAAAAGGTGGATGGAGAAACAGGAGCCTGTGACCAATGTGTCAACACTAACACCCCAGGCGCTTATACGACTGCTTCGTCTGCATGCAGGGCGGCTGGAGCCGAGCTGCCTACCTCCTGTATTGAAAAATACCGACTGGTACCAAACATTTTCAATAATATTGAAAAAGGTCACCTTGGACCTTGGAGGCCTAAAAATTCAACATCGTGATCAAAACAATATTGGCCATGATATTGGTCAATATCGGCTTCAAATATTATGGACCATGATATTGATATTGGTCAATACTGATCGCGGAGATCCTGTGGAGTTCCTGTGGCGGTCCTGTGGAGTTCCTGTGGAGATCCTGTAAAGTTCCTGTGGAGTTTAGAATCCTGTGGAGATCCTGTGGAGTTCCTTTTGACATTGATATTGGTCTTGATATTGGTTGTAATATTGGCCTTGATATTGATCATGATATTGGTCGATATTGATCAAAGATATTGATTATTTTTCAATCTTCAAATTATTGAAAAACAATCCTACGAATGAAAAATCAAGTTCAATATTATTGAAGATTTTTGCGATATTGATTTTTTCAATATCGGATCCTCAGGGTCCAGTCCGAAGCTGTGGAATTTTGGTGACGGTTTGATCAACCACTTGTGCCTCCAAACCCTCGATCGATGATTCAAAATATAAGCGTTGCTGTCTTTTCACCTTTCCGTTTGCGTGCGTGCGCGCGGGCCGGCGGGTGGACGTCTGAAACGGCAGCAAAAACTCACTTAGCTGCGTAGGCAGAACTACGATGCGCTATGCCTTACTAATTTTGCTATGTTTCTTTTGCAGTACCCGGCATTGTTCAAACATGGACAACGCCTGCTTTTTGTTGGGGACCCGATGCACCTGGATGTGTTCCTCGGTCTGAGGTGCGCAGATGTCTTTTTTGTAGCTTGGCTGTTGATACGGCGGGCGTGACATTGATTGTAAGTTGTTGCGCGCCGCCAGTGACAGGCAGAGTCTTCGGCGTAGCACTGTGGTGTAAGTTATTTGGAATAACTGCGGGCTGCGTACGGTGACAATCTGTGTAGCCTAAAAGGCAGGCCAGTTCGAGTGACCAAAGAAACACAACAAGTTTCAAGGCTTCGAAAGGGCCGCTGATCAGATTGGGGTCCCTCAACTAGGGTCAAAGCACGTTGAACCCAGGAGAAAAACATCACAACCATTCATAACCACCGTTTTCTAAAGTGCCCAGATCAAGAAAGCGCATTGTTGATAGAGGTACAAGTACATCGTGGGCACACAGTGCAAGTTTCCGTCACCTTGGAGCTGATTTCACTGCCCTGAAGGAGATGTTCCATCTTCCGTACCTGAGCAATCACAACCAGCTTTTGTTCTGCAGAGCACCGCTGTCTAGAGAACAATCCTCTTCGATCCTCTTGGAGTAAACCTATACAACTCGAAAAGAAAAGCAACACGACCGTGGCACCTTGAAGATCCTCTAGATACCTGGCTCGTAGCGCAGCACGAGGGAAGTTTTTGGGTTGGGGCGATCATTAAAGAAGGAGAAACACAGAAGGAGGCTTACAAAACACGGCGAATAAATCCAAGGTAACCTGTACGAGTACTGTGCCTGTTTGTTCCTCTCCCAGGTTGCGCCGCTGCCTTGCCCCATTCTATGAATAGTTCATATAGTTCGGCAACTGCTGCGCCCTAAAATGATGTTTTTGCAGCGACGGAGCTGGGAGGATGGAGGGTCTGTTGCACTGGCCCCGCCCTGCGCGAACAAAGATCGCAAAATATGCAACGCTGTTGCTGAGCACATTGTGGGTGGTCCTTGTTTACTTCAAGATGTTCAAAAATTGGCGAATCGTCTGAATCGTGAGGCCGCTATGATTGGCAGCACGCTCACACAGTCTCGCTTCATTACTTTGCTTTTTACCCAGCTTGTTGCGACGTGTTATTTTTTCACCAAACTGTGTGGACACACTTAGGGGTTCTTACGGTAGGGGTTAAGCGCCGGGGCTAGATCGAGGTGACGGAGTGGTCGGGTCCGGCTATTTCGTCGCTACTTGACGCTATTTGCAGAGCATTCATGCCTTTCAAAATCGCCGACGTGCATTTCGACTGCCCAGGCTCGCGAAATCTGGGCGGAGGCGGCGCTTGCTTGTCGCGACTGCGCGCTCGATGCGGCGCCGCGCGCATTTTCGCACACGGTGGTCACTTTTAAAGTGGCAGGCGCAAGGAAAACCTCGTGTTTTCGTGGTCCAAAGTCGGCTTTTTGTGTCAGGCGCAAGGGATCGGAGCGGTTTGCGCGTGATGTCGTGGCAGGCGCAGCGCTTTGCGAACCTCGAAGTGCAGATGTCCTGGCAGGCGCAGCACTTTGCGAACCTCGAAGCGCAGATTTCGTGGCAGGCGCCGCGCTTTGTGAACCTCGAAGTGCAGATTTCGTGGCAGGCGCAGCGCTTTGTGAACCTCGAAGTACAGATGTCGTGGCAGGCGCAGCGCTTTGCGAACCTGGAATAAGTGCAGATGTCCTGGCGCGAGCAGCACTTTGCGCACCTCGAAGCGCAGATTTCGTGGCAGGCGCCGCACTGTGTGAGCTTCGAAGTGCAGATTTCGTGGCGGGTACAGCGCCTAATGAGCCGCGAAGTGCAGATTTCGTGGCAGGCGCAGCGCTTGGTGAACCTCGTAGCAGACACAGCACTCTGTGAACCTCGAAGCGCAGATTCCGTGGCAGACGCAGCACAAAGCGATGCTCACTCTCTACACTCTCACCCTCTCACTCTTACTCACCCTCACACTCACGCTCACTCTGATTCTCTCACTCATTCACATTCATAACGCCCACACCCACTCTCTTTCACATGCATTCTCACTCTCACTCACGCTCACACTATCGATATCACTTACGTTCATACTCACTCTTTCACTCACATTCATTACGTCCACACTGAGTCTCATTCACATGCATTCTCACTCTCACTCACGCTCACACTCACTTTCACTTCACTCACGCTCACACTCACTCTCGCCCGCTCACTCATTCACTCACTTGATGCGCGCTCTGGTGACTGTGCTCTCAGGTGTGTGCTCTCTGGACCTCTAGCTTGCTCCGAGATGTGTGCTCTCTAAACCGCTTCCCCGACATCTCCACCTCTGTCTTCTTCAGGCTCTTGTTTCTAGGGTGACCTGGCGCGGTTACGCCCAGCTATTCTTTTATCCGGTGCACCTGGCGTGGTTACACCCAGTACTTCCCACCTCATCCTACTCCTCGTTGGTGCCTCGAGTGCGGCTTATATACACTCTACACTGCTTGGGGTCTCTTGCCGGGATAGTTGCGCCTACTTGATGGCTGACGCCTGACGCCACTTGTTTGCTGCTCCGTTTGTTGTTTGCTGTCCTTTGTTGGTGTTTGCTATACTTTGCTGTCACGTGATAAGGGATGTCGTGGGGGAAGTGCACAGTGCTCCAGCAGTGCTCAGAACAGTGCTCGGAAGTCAAAAACAAGGAAAATACAAGCGATTTGGGCAGTAGCAATGCAAAACGATAGAGGTTTAGAGTTCTAGAGTCTAGGCTGTGGTTTTTGACTCACTTGCAATTCCTGTGACCATACCCACAGTATTTACAAGGTTTGGTGCGCGGGCACTGTCTGGAGCGGTGTTGGAGCACTGTCCGGGCACTGTGGAGCACTGTGTTGCCACGCAGACCCCGGCCGCATAGCTTTGCGCGTGAGACATAGCCATGGTCGCTCCAGGTCATGATGGCGCTCTACCCTGTTTGCTGTCCCCCGCCCCATGTGTCCTTCTTTGCCTCTTGTTACTGACGGCGCAACTCTTCTTCTATAGGTTGTTGTTGTCACTGTCTGCATGGCACAGCCCTACGTCACTGGTTTCACAAGTTTGTTCTACCTGCCATCGGCATCACGCGATTTTTTTAAAGTGCTGCGTTGGCCCTCCGCTGTCTGCTTGGCGCAGCCCTGTGTCAGGTACTGTTGATGGACGAAACCCTGCACCGCCTCACCCTTTACCCTGGAAGGGTCGCAGAGCAACCCCCGCGCGCCCTCATTCAATGTTGGCGCGACCCCTCTCAAAAGGCGGTGCAGGATGCTGGACCTTCAACTTGTTTTAATTGTCTCACTGTGGTGGCCCCAATGTTAACGAGGGAGAACGAGGGCAGCAAGAAAAAAGTGCGCAAAGCGGCGCAGGATTTTGTCCATCAACAGCATCTTGGAAAGTAAGCAAAATCTTGTTTGCGCAATGCAACACTAGTTACTGCGGTGCAATGCAACACTAGTTACTGCGGTGAAGCGTCGCAAACTCCATCTTGGATGCCTGGAGTCTGGTGAACGCTTGCATGGCAGGCCTGCCGACGCATGCAACTTGAAACAACCCTGGCAAATAATTTAATTGGCACGCCTGGATCTCACCGGGCACAAGGAGCTCGCAACAGCTGCGGTAAATATTGTGGATCAGGAAGCGTGAATTTGCTATAGGAGTAGAAAGCATGATCAAACAATGTCTTGCCTCCAAGCTTTTGTACGAACATGTTGAAATGCGAGCGATTGCTGAAAAATCTTCCAATATGCGGTTGAGCTGGGCGCTGCGCGGGAAGGCCTCCAGGACTTGCTTCTGCAGAAGCCACCAGAACTCCCGTCTGGCAAAAACTAATAGCGCACTCCCCTTGGCCCTTCAAAATTAACAACAAGAGGACACCTGGAAGTATCCACCACCTTCAAGCCGAAACCTCCAAGTGACTCACTGAAACAGCTAGGGCTCCAACGTGTAAAATCAACTCCAATCTCTCTAAGCATAAAGCTTGAAGTGATAATTGCACTCACCCTTCACTGTGCCCAGCAAATAGTCCTATGCGGCAAGCTGTTCACAAAACCCCAGTGTCGCAGAACTTCCCATCCTTACAGCCCCGTCTCTCCTCTGGCTGGTCAACTCTCGCCAACCACCTCAAAGCAAAAGTCAAGCCACTGACCAAACAACGATGACTTCAACCAAACCGATGGCGCAACAGAAAAGGAAGAATCTACGTGTCATGTCATGGTGGGCTGCAAACTTTGACTCCGGGAAAGGGCAAATTTGCCCTGCCAGCGTTGGTTTCCGCAACTCTCGCAACTCCAGGAGCGGCTGCCTCTTGGGTATCTCATTCAAATTCTCCCGCAATCGCTGCAAACTTGCATTGTCCTGGCCACAGTACCCACTGTTTTGCGCTGCGCATCTTGCACAAGATCTGAGATATAAGTATACAATTAATTATAGTAAATATTATATATATAATGTGATTCAGGCACACCGCTGTCATAGCGATTCACTCGCTGACAGCATATCCAGGCATATTTGCTCCGACAATGTCTTGTTCTTGCGTGTCCTTGAAAAAGGTCCAAAGTTTCCCAGCGCTGTGGTTGTTGGGGATGCGTTGGGGATGTTACAAGCAAAATGTAAAATGTCTCTGACACGGTAACTTTGGGAAGGAAAACAAGGTCAAAGAGCATAAACTCCCCACCTCGACGGACAGTCTTAAATTTGCGCAAACACCCTGCACGGACAGTCTTTGTTGCAGTTCCCTCCTGTGGGCGCAAACTACAAGTGACAGCCTTTACACAATTGCCTGGATATCCCTTTTCGACCATCTTCATCCTTTTGTCACCGCCCTGGACAAATCCAACCAACCATTGTCTACTTTCAATTGTTTAGTTTTCATGTTGTTTCTATGCATCTGCCGGTAACAGGGAGGGAAGGAGGGGTCGGGTGGGGTTTCTTCGGAACTCCTTACACAAACTCTGCACGCGAAAAAGGCAATGGGGGAATTTCGTTCCTAACTGTTTGAAAATGCCATGTGAGCATCGTTAATGTGCCGTAGCAGCTGGTTGCAAATGATGCCTATATAAGTGCACCAATGATAGGTTTGCAATTGAGCAGGCAAAAAGTGTCTTTAACGCCGTAAAGAACATCATAACATGGGTTGTTGCAAAGCAGCAAGGGGTAGAAAATCACAGGCTTATTGAGCAGGATGAGAGAAGGCCTTCCTAAGGGAAGGCCCCCAAACATAATTAGAGCAAACACATCAAAAAGGTTGAAGGAGGCACAACAAAACGCAACGTGTGGATCAGGGAAATGCAGGGTGGCCGCAATTTGTCTTGGGTTGCGTGTTCCTTTGGTGTTTTTTTCGTTGCGTTTGGTGTTTGTTTTTGCTTGGTCGTGGTTTCTCTATAGTTCACTAGCGTGGTTGGTGACTTGACAAACTGAGCGCTCTCTTTTTTCCAGCAAGGGGGACGTCTCGTTTCGATCCACCCCCTTTTGAAATAAGAGCGTCCCCAAATCGAGTAACGTAGGAGATCAAATCTTTGAAAGCAACTCTGGCCAGCATCGATCTGTCACTTTCTTCCTTTAGCAACAAGTGGGCACACTGTCGTGAAGGGTAGTCGCTCAAATTTGCTTCCGTTGGTACTCGACTGAACCAAGCACGGGTGTTTAGCTTGACCTCTTCCTCAAGGTGGAATTGCAACAACGCTTCCGCCCAACGACCTGTTGCAGAAGCCTTGATGAGTGCAAAACGGACGCTATCGTTGTCACCAAACCATGTCACCAAGCTCTCGGAAAGATACACCTTCCAATACGACAGGGCAAGCACTGCCGCTGCAAGCTCTAACTCATAGATTATGGTATCTTTTTCAGCAGACCCAAAGGCAACACATGCGGATTCTTCCAATTGAACTCCGAACCATTCAAAGCATGTGCCATGCTGGTCTACCAAGACAGCGCCCAAACCACCAGTCTTTGTTCCCTGCTCATAGGCTGCATCAGTGTAAACAAACCATTCGGGAATGTCTCTATCCGAAACAGACATTGGCTGTCCAGCTTCCAAGCGCGTCTTCATGGCCAAAAGTGCACGGATCGTTTCAGTACTCAAGACTTTGTTTCGCAAGTACGCATGCTCGACGACTCGTTTGAGCACTAGCCGCCCCAATCTGCCAACCAATGCATCATGCTTACTTGAAGTGCCAGCTTCAAGGATTTCTGAGATTCGGACAATCAGGTCGGTCTTCCGTTGCTCCGTATTGCATATGGTCAAGAGCCGCTGTTCAGACCGACTGAAATCGAATTCAACTCCCAAGGCCTTGCACACGCTTGCAAACTGGGTCGCCTTCTTGCCTTCTTTTGCATACTCCCATCCAAGGAGCATTAGCAGCAGTTCCATCGAGTTTCCAGCTGACGCACTGCACCCCGGCTTTGAGAGAAGCACAAAGTCATCGTAGAAGTTTGTATTGATCCAGTGCAAGGCTTTGCAAGCTGCGAAGTGGATCATCTTTGCCAGACAAAGGAAGCTGTACACCGAGTGTGTTGCTCCAAAAGGCAAAGTCAGAAGTTGATATATTTCTGCTGCACCAACCTCGCAGTTGTAAACACTAAAATAGGCATACTTCAAGTGTTCCTTGCACACAGCAACCTGGCGGTAGGCGCTTTTGAGATCAAAAGTTCTGGCTACCAACTTGCTGTCTACTTCCAATTCTTTGCACAAACCAAAGTACCTGCGGGTTACCGCTCCCAGGGTGTCAATCATGCGCAAACTGATCTTCGAATGTATGCTGCAACTGTCGTTCACACTACTGACCGAGAAATCATCGATCACGCGAGTCTTGTTTGACTGCACCAAAGGGAATCGTCTCGAGATGACCGCTCCCTCAGGGAGATCCTGAAGCTTGAACGGGCCCCTGGCCCAACCTTTTGAAAGCTCTGCGCGGGTCTCCTGCAACAAGGTCAAATCTGTCTCAACATCGCCTGATGAAGTAGTCATCGCCAAAACAGCTTGATTTCTCTGCGCTGCACCTTTTTCGAGCTGCTTCAAGGTCATCAGGCATGGTCGAAACTGATCATCAAAGACAGGGCACCTAGCAATGTCACCTGCCAACGTGGAGCCTTTGCGCAAGATGTCCAAAGCTTCAAGGTCAGGAAATTCAATGCTCTTAAGGATCTCTTCGGCCAAAATCAACCGTTTGTTCTTTGTGCTTTGTTGAACATGAACAGACCGTTTGGTCCGGTCTTCAAGCTCCTGCGCCTCCAATTGCTTTGCTCTGTTGAGCCATTGCCGACACCAATCTGCTCTGTATTGTATTTTGTCAATTGCTCATCATTCCACACCAAATTTTGTTTGATTGCACGTTCAAGAACTTGCGGAACACTGAGCTCTGCTTTTGCCGGATGTCCCAGCTCTGCTGCCTTTCTGATGAAGTCCTCAGGGCTCCATGGCAGGCCAAACACAGCCCTCATTGGACACAAGCTCAAATCAGCGCCGCTCATACTTTCCTCTGGCTCCTGCACATCACCCCCCTTTATTGAGTCAGAGGGAGTATAGAAGCGAAGAAAACGCGATGCCTTTGGAACTTTGATGGGCTGAGCTTCAACCGATGTCAACTGAATATCGGCTGGCAGTTTTGCAAGGAGTTGAACAGGTACTTGAGCAAGGTCCTGCAAACATGCTTTGAGAACTGAACTGTAGTCAGGCGCCATCGGGGGCAGTTTCTTGCGTGATGGTTGAGAACCGACTGCAATCTGCGATTTTTGATGAGAAAGCAAGGGATGATGATCCAGCTCTGTCAAGCTCTCCGGTAATAGAACCAGGCCATGGATTTGAGCGACCTGCAAAACACACTGGCGCAATGCCCAACACAACTTCCTTGGATACGGACTCTCCAGTGCTTTCGCCCAAACTTGTTTGCCTGTTGCGTCTCGACTGAATCGCCAAGGCGCGTGATTGTGACTGCGATTGCATACGATGTCAAGCTGCTGAATCTGCTTGAAGTTTGCTACAAATGCGTGTCCCTGTCGCCACCGTACATGCATACTTGGAAGTCTGCGCAAAAAAGGTCTGTCTTTTTCCATAAGGAAATGAAGAACGAAGTTGCCCAGAAATGTGAATTTCTTGGATTTTCCAATGTCACCAAAATACCTCGTCTTGAGGCCTTGTCAAAAACCTTGCGCGCAACGTCAAACAATAAATTTGCGATCTGAACTCTGAGTGCATCATTCGCTTCAAGATTTGGCAATCCATCAGGGTAATCACTACTTCTCAGAGGCTTAGGATCTGTTGGATGAACTCGAATTTCACGGCACGACTTGCCGTCCCGCACACGGGCGCTAAATGCACCCAAAACAAGAGGTTTGAATCCAGCCAAGAATCCAGCACTGTGCGATCAACCTCACGTGTGAGATCAAGCCGGGTTATACTCGACCGTGCACCTCTTTTCTGTACCTTGTCAACTGCAATGGAGTTTGTCATACCCTGTTGCTTAGCAACTGAACACAAGACAGCGCTCCCTGCAAAAATCTCAAGCATCCACACCTGTCCTACACTCGTCCGCGACCAAATGCGGGGGACAAAGGCAGACAACTCTCACTTGCCGTGCTCCTGTAAACTATGATGTTGTTGGCACTTCGGTTCGGCACAAACGTGAAGTCCACGCTTGCATCGCTCACCTGCCTTGATTCCCTTCTCATTGCATCCTGCTGTGGTGTTGTAACCAAAACATATGGCATCTCCTTGTGGGGTACGATGCCACTTGCCGTGAAGGTCCCTTGGCATGGCTGGTGATCCTTTGCTTCCTTTTCCTGTTCCCTTCTTTCCTTTGCCCTTTGCCTTGCCTCCACGATCGCTTGTTGAAGCTGTATAGGGCACTGACCTTCTGTTCCATGAATCACTTGAACTTGCACTGGCTTTTGCAACTGGGCTCACATACAAAGCAATGTAAGGATCATGTCGTAGGTTCAACAATGCAACACCAAGAGGATAATGTCCTGCAGCATCCTGCCTGATGTCCTGAACGCAACTCGCCAATCTTCCCCACGCCGCCTTGTCGCATTGGATCAGCTGACCCAAACTCGATTTTGCATAGCCAGGTGGGGGCTCTCTGCGCAGTGCTTCAAATAAAAATGTAACCCACTCGGCATGCTGTGCGTGGCTCATCAACTTTGCAAACTCTAAAGCGATACCCCGCCTCAACAATGCATGATGGAGCTTTATCTCACTATCAGTGGCACTCGTGAGATGATCTTGATTCTTGAGCACCAAACTTCCTTTCTCTAATGTCAACTCCCGAGATTGCTTTGTTCCACCAACCTCAAGAACTCGGCTCACACAACTGGCTGGCTCCAAATACTGAATCACGTTCTTGTCATACATGGCACAC